TGTTACGCCCGCAACGCATGCGCATTGCACTTGTTATATAAATGTAAATCAGTCAAAACGACCGGAACTGTATATATGACGGTTAAAGTAGTGGGGGATGTTGCAATACTCTTGTAATGTGCTGCATGTGTCTGCTGATGTGTGTGTAGACGTGTATTTATTTTGGGAATGGGTAAGGATGTGAGTTGTGTGGTTTGCCAAAATGATTTTTTCTAGAGTACACAGTCGGTATAACTGTTTTCTTGCGTATTGTGCTTCATGAATTTATTAATTTCGTATGATTAAATTACTTCAATGTTTACTAATTTGTAATTTGCACCAAGAATTTGTATTATGCATTTTTTGAAATTATAAATGCAATTTTTACTTCCTGCAACATAAACTCGATTCGAAATACAGATTAATTTATGAAACAAAACTTTAATCTACCAAACAAAAGTGTTATTAACAAAACTTTAAACAAAATTCAAATATATTTTACTCATAGCAAAACTTTAATTTAGCTTTTTTACAAAACAAATCATAACATTCTCGCAGCAGAAAGTTAATTTTAACATCTTTTAATGTTTACATAAAACAACTTTGGTTTCTCACAATTAAACTTTATTTGCTGAAAAACACAATTCAAATTTTGCAATACAGTGGCATGGTAGAGCCATTATTAAACGCAAGGTATACCACCAGCTTGTAATAAGGACATCTAAGCTCTTATAACGACAGTCACTGTAAGCCCCCTAATAACGACCTTCAAGCTATGTCCGCTAAATATAATAAAATAATTGTAAACTCGTTTAAACTTCACCACCTACACCAATGAACAGCAGAAAGAATCGTGTAACATTTTATTTTAATCTGATCTTCAATCATGACGAACACCGTAATGTCGTGGCTTCTTCGCAAATATGTCACATTAGCCTGTAGCTTACATGTTTCTACTATTGATTGCTGAATAGCTTTTTGGAATTTATTATCGAGTCGAATTTCTTGATATAGAAAATGATACATGTACAGTCCAAACATCTGAAAGGTACTTTGCTAGTTTATTAGATACAATAAGAATTATGCATGGCATTGTTACTCATCTTCGACAATATTACTCACCCCTGTAATAAATCAGTGATGAACTCGACCTTCACCACGTACAAGCGTGGAAACACAATTAGTAGGAGTGCAAGCGATGAAAACACTACACACACTACAGCGAGGTTGGTAATTCACGTAGGTAATGTATGCGTAATATTGACCGGCGTGTGTTCCCCTCTGTATAACTCTATGTATATAAATATATTGTACTATATTGGCGTCTGTCAATCAAATTATCCATGAGTTACACGAATTGTGTAACTTTCAATTAAGTTCCCACACACGAAGTGGGAAAATTCTGTTTATTATTGAACGTTTTTTTGGGGAAAAACTCAATCATGTCCACGCATTTCTTCTCATTTATAGATCACAATTACAAACTACAGGAACAAAGAAGAGAAAATTCACAATTAAAATTAATATATACTGAAGTATTCTGTATAATATTTGTTTAAAATCGAATATTTCCGGGTATCTTTTAATCTAAATGAATTCTGAATCACGTGACCAATCGTGGTGACTCTGAAAGTTTGTGTTATCTGGGAGAAAGCCATACACCCAATTGAGGATCAATTGATCTTGTAGGTCCTGAGAAATTAACAATTAATTAAAAGAAATTAAACAATTTATGCCGTTGATTAATTATACTATTTCATGTGATCGATTCAGATATTTTTATTTTTAAAGACTTGTGTTTGTCACTTTGATTATATGAGACCCCCTACGTATGAGAAATAGGGTACTGCTGTTGAATATAGAATACTACTCGTGCGTTCTTGACATAATTGAGAGTTGCTGTTACCTGTGCGATTTTACAACAATTTGTATTCAAATCTGTCTATAATTATTAGTTTTGGTATTACCCAACATTGTGATTTTTTTATTCACTGCCAATCAATCTGTTTTTGTTTTTTTTGAAAAATAACTGTTAAATATTATATTATAAAATAACAATCTAGCAACTGTTAAACTGCTAATAACACAATGAGTGATAATCATACCAAGTTGAACAAAATCGGTACAGGCATGCCTGAGTGACAGTTGATATGTTCAAATTTTGTGATGTATTTTTTATTTATTGGCAAATTTTATACTGAAAAAAACACTATTCAGTTATTACATCTTATATTT